CCCGCAGAACAGGAGCCGGGTCAGGAGAATATTTCCCACTCATTTTGTCTTTTTTCAACTCACTCAAGAGGAAGCAGGGGTGATGGGGGAGAAATTCCCCAGAAGTGCGTTTAGCGTCACGGATGACACGGCGAGCGATCGCACGCTTCTGTTTAAAATCAGGAGTCGCTCTGGGTTCTTTGTCCGGTACCTCCCCATGCAGCGCGTTTCAAACGTCTGCACGAGCACAGCGGGAGCCACCAAGGCAGCATTTCTGAGAATGCCTCCCCAAATTTTTGGGGTATAGAATGAGAAGCTGGGTAAAAAACGGAGGACGAGAAGGGTGTAAAAGCCATCGATGGGGGACGAAGAAGGAACCTCTTTAAAAACAGTCAGGTGGGTAAAGGTTCCAATTTGCCCGATTAAATTCCCCAGCGGGGGGGTGCGAAGAGGTGGCGAATATAAAGGGGAAGTAAGAATGAGGGAAATGATCAGTCATGTAAGTCGGGAGAAAAACCCAAAGTAAAGTCTAATGGGCGGAGGGAAAAAGCAAAAATGAGAGTCATGAAGAGAGAGTCGAGTCCGAGGGTCAAAATGGGTGCAGTACCTGTATTTAAAACATGGAGGGGGTGGGGGCAAGAAAAACCCTTAACTGAATTCCCCCGGGTCCAGGGAAACCCCCCCCCGAGGAAATGGTGGGCATTAAAAACACCAAGTAACAGAATCTGGGGGAATGCCCAAACAAGGGAAAGGGAAAAACCCGGAATAGAAAATGCCCCAGAAGGAGAGAGATATAAAGAACAAGGTATACCACCTTGTAAGTGGAACGGGTGCTGTGTAATGCAGCGAAGTATAACAAATAGCTGATGGGGGAATATAGTGCGGAAAAAAGAAGGGCACTTTCATTAAAAGGGCCCATCAGGAAAAGGACTGAAATCAATAAATTTTAGCCTGGAAATTTTGGAAAAAAACAGCAGATTTTTAAATTTTTTCCCGTAGCAAACACCAACAGGGGGGAAACTGGGAGAGTAAATCTGAAGCCACCCCCCATTCCCGAGGCCGCGTATTCCCCCTTTTAAAAGGCCTGTTGGCAAAGATAAAAACTTGAAATCCGCAGGTAAGGGTTCCTACGGATAGAAGGGGTTTGAAAAGTCCCATCGGAGGCATGGAAAATGTTCAAAGCAGCGAAGGAACGGGCGTGTGAAGAAAGGAGTTGCGCAATGGAGAGGGGAGAAAAAAAGAGCGGGGGGTTTTGGGTCATTGTCCCTTGATGGTTTGGCTCTGCAATATATTCAGAGTTGCTTTCAAGTGTTTCGGATTCGGTGTCTATGGGAGACAATTTGGAATGGTAGGGGGAAAAGGATTAGTAAAGATTGGAACTGTATTGGAGTGAAACCAAGGTAGGGGGGGGGGGGGGGGGAAAAAGGGTGGAGGGAATGGAGAAGCATGGCAGGGACAGAAGAGACAGGAACCTGGGGGGTTTGGCAGAAAGAGGAAGAAACTTGGAGGGAACAGGGGAGGAAGGTACATTACGAGGGAGGAGGTGTGAACCTCTGCATTTGAACTGAGCCAGTGAGAGGGGAAGAACTAGGGCAGAGAAGGGGAGGGTAAAATGAGGAGGTGGAAGATGGGTAGGAGGTGTTACCGGACCTTTTTTGACTTTTGAGAAGTAGAGGGACGATTGGGAAGAGGTGTCGTACGAGGTCTCGTCGATACTGAGGCTTGTAAGAGAGAACTCGAAAAGGGCGAGATTAGACTGAGGCGTTGAAGTAGGACGTCTGAGCCGAGGACAGCAAAAGGATTGGGATACAGGAGTGATTAGGGGGAGAGGTAACCACAGAGGTGGGTGTAGAAGATGGGATACCAGAAGTGGGGGGGACGTTTTTGAAACACGGAAAAAAGAAAACGTGGGAGTCTCCCTTGGAGGCGGAGATGAGAAACTGCCATGGAAATAAGGGAGACCTTCTGTCTCTTTGAGGTAACGGATTTCCCGCTCGTTTAAATAACCTGACAACGGCGAGAGTACGAAGGGTGAGCCTCATGACAGTTAAGGCAAGAGGGAGATCGATTGCAAGACGTATTAGAATGGTCATCGGCACCACAGACTGGGCATTCGGCGATAGATCTGCAATATTTCGCTGGATGGCCCAAATGGGCCAGCAATTTCTCCCACTTTGTGGTGTAGGGATCACCTTTCGAACTTGTAACCGATGTCCTGCTATATAAACTGAGATGGGAGTTCTCGGCTGTCAAAAGTTAAACGAGCCACATTGCTAGGGTATCGTCTCCGCCCACGGGCAGGAAGAACGTAAGTGTCTACCTTGAGGATTGGGAGATCTTGGAGTTCCAGCTGTTCTAGAATGTCGGGCCCCATGTCTGGAAATTTTGTTGAACTATGGTATGGGGCAGAATGACGGTACCACTACAAGAATTGAGGGAATGATGTTTTTTCAAGGGGGACAGGAACAGTATCTATATGGAAAGACGAGAGAGCTCACGAGCCTGGGTAGCATTCTGTACGGTAATGATGCGCGTACCGCTCTTAAGAGCATGAAAAGAAATATCTTTACCAACATGGCGTAGGAGTGCCTTGCCCAAAACTATGGTCAGAAAGATAGGCAGTAGAGGAAGTTTGGGCGTAAAGTGAAGAATTTAGTCCACTGTTCAGTCTGAAACTGAGCGTGGAAAGGTAATGGGAAGGACGTGTCGATCGTTTCTGAGAAGAACGAGAAGGTGAAGGTGGAGAAGTAATATCACAAGGTAATTGTCGTTGACGTTTTAGGCGTGGGACCAGAGTTGGTCCCACGTGGGAAAGGGTCGGCGATTTTAAAAAATTGCCCCACCGTAGAGGGAGAGGCCGGAAGCATAGTCAGAGGAGAGCGAAGGTCTGATAAATCGAAGGAGTCAGTCGAGGCCTTAGTAACCTGGGAAACGGGTGAGGAAACGGCACCGGCAAATAGGTACAGAGGCATGAGGAATGTCTAAAGAGTGGTCCAAAGAACGAGGCGGGGTCAGAATGGGGTGCGGTATCAAGAAGGGGCCCGGGGGGGGTCCAGGTTCAAGGACTAGGGCTCCCAGGTTGGGTTTATTTTCTTTTTGTTAGAAAAAAAAAAAAAAAAGAAAAAAAAAAAAAAAAAAAAAAGAAAAAAAAGGGGGGACCGGGGAGGGATAGTCCTAGGGGGAATAAAAGGGCCAAAATCTCCCCCGCGCCCAAGAGGACCTCAGCCCGCAAGTACGCAGAGCAGCGGAACCCGTGCCATACCCTACCCATCATGCTTTTTAAACTAAAATCCGGGATAGCAACCTCACATCTGCCGACACCTCGGGGGACAAAAGAGAGGGGGGGCCCGGGAAATACCCCACAAAGTACCTCCTTCGGCCACCACCCCCGGAACCCCAAAGGGGGCTTCCAGATACACTCGTCCCCCCGAAAGACACCCAAAGCTACCCGGGATACCGGAGGGGATGGACACCCCAGGCATCCAGTTTTCCACGGCAAACTACCCACCGCTAAGAACCTCAACGGAATGGGATGGACCCCGGTATCCTTTCTCCTACCCAGGAACTAGCGCGCCTGTGGGAGAAATCCCAAAGGACAAAAAGAGGAAGGGCAAAAGGGAGGAGTGGGGAGGAGGAGGAAAGGAAAAAGGGGAGGATGGGGAGGATGGGATAGGGGAGGGGAGATTGGGGGGTAATTAGGTTCGGTCTGAGGAAGAAGACCGATAGGTCTAATTCCTCAGACCAAGAGCCTCTTCACCACGCCAAGGAGCCCCCCTTGAAGAGGTCGATGTACCGTAGATGACCTCCGTCAGGCCCATACAGTAAGACAAGACCTCCACTTTATCTCGTAGATTTCTGGCCAGTGTCTGGGGAGAATTGTGAGCGAGTTTGATCTGTGGGCCTGGTGTGCAACACGCAGTGCATGCCCAGTAAGTACCAGTGTCTCAAGGCAGTCTGGAAGCTAGTGTCCGTGTCTGCATACATACCCTCTTGGATATAGGAATTTCTGAGGTGCAAGCAGGTCACTAATAACGACTGAATATTGCAGGAATTAAGGCTCCTGGTTGCATGTGGTTTCTGAGGGGAAGTCCAAAGGGGCTAAGGCTAAGCTTAGGGAAGTTGAAGATCAGGATATATGCTGCAACACCAAGTAAGTTAGTCCTTTATACGTGCATACAGGCGAGTTTTCATGCAACATCAATCATTTGTGAAAATCTGTCCTATAAGCCACTTGTGAGGCTGAGGTACCCACCTCAGAGCTCTGTGTCAACAGTTTGCCAGGGTAGGCGACTCACTTGGAGGCAGTCCACACAAATTTTCACCTTGGACCGCGGGGCCCCCAAATGCGCGGGGCCCTAGGCAAATGCCTAGTTTGCCTATGCGGTAATCCAGCCCTGTTTAGGAGGGGTGGGGATGGAAAGTATTCAGTTTCAATTCAGGGAACAAGAGCACAGATCAAATTCCTTAGATCACGAGCCCCTCACTAGCATCAAGGAACCTTGAGGGAAGTTATCAAATGAACGAATATTGTATGGAGCACTGCAGTGAACAACGAGTCCTCACTCTCCACCAGTATTTTCAGAAAAAGCTAAACTGCAAAATATTGCTTTTGTCACTTGCTTAAAAAAAAAAAAAAAAAACCCAGCCTAAATCAGACAAACCTTCCTTACAAATTATGTTTCAGCCGGGTGCATTAATAGCAACCCTTTAAGCCGGGTCACCATCTGGAAAAGACCGGGGCCGGGACAAGACCGGCGAACCTTCAACAACAATCTTTACCCAATTCATTATACTAATGTTTACCATCGCCAGTCAGCTTCAACATTCATTAATTTCAGTCATACCAAATTGTTACAGTATTTCAAGGATGAATATAGAAAATTATTCCGGTAAATTATGTTTGCCTCGCTGTCTAGTACCTACAAGTTAAAATTAACGCTGCCCGAAATGTTATGCATAAAGGTTTCTGTATAGTTTATAGATGTAACTGAACTGCTAGTTTCCATTGTTTACATTCTCACCTGAACAGGTTCATCACCTGATCCTTTGATCTGGTAGCAGTGTTTCCAGGTGGGTACACTGGCGTCCAGAGTTCTCGTGTAGCCCTGGAAAAAAGGGTTCATAGATTTTTTTTTTTTTTTTTTTTTAATTATAATCAAAAGGAAGCTCTAAATCTACTAGGGTCATACAGCTTAAATTATTTAAACGCTGACAAATTCGGGACACCTACCACCTGCATGGCGCGAGCAGTGCCATTCCATACATAGGCGACTAAGCGAGTGTCTTCCCCTGTAAGGAGGATTACTTCGTCTCTACACGACGGTACCTGCAATTAACATTTCAGTTTACTGGAATCAAGTACTAGACCTTAGTTAAGCTTCAATGTTGCTAAGAATATGCTGCCATATAATAATAAAGAAGCGCTAAGCCACAAGGGCTATACAGCGCTGCATATGCTGCCATAAAGTTAAGCTAATTCAAATTTACTGCCAACAGGGTTTAGTAAAGGGAAGTTTCATCAAGAGGTTTTAGTTAATCCCATTTTTATTCTAAATGGATGATTAGTGGTGATAATTACGTAATATTACAGTATAGACTTACGTGCAGTGGAAAAAATGTTTTAAATTCTTGAAGATCACCAGAAGGAAAAATGTCTTGCAAGACCTCGTAGTGGGCGCCCCTCAGCAGGTAGAGTTTAGCAAGGGAGGTGGTCATCACCAGCAGGAAGTGCTCCAGACCCCAGCCGAAGGTGGTCCACGAAATAATATCCTCCGAGGAAGTTACCGTCTGTATCAACCTCATGTGAAACTGGTGCCAGGGGTCGTCCTGCACGTGCAGAATTGACAAATTAGTTTTGACGAAAAATCCCCAATTATAACCGAGGGGGAAGCGCTAAACCCGTAGGATTATACAGCGCCTGTGGGGGGGGGGGTGAAAGGTATTCAGGATTAATTCAGGGAACTGGAGCACAGATCCAGTTCCCTAGATCAAAAATCCCTCATCAGCATCAATGAACCTTCCTCGAGGAGGAAAAAAATCCCTCAACTACCTGACCTTGCAATGTTTAAGACACTGGGGGGGAAAGGAAGGTGCTAAATTTATGCTTATGAGCTATCAGGAATTTGTTCCCTGTATCCCATTACCTTAACCCACGCAAAAGGAATAATTTACAGTAAGTTTCCAAGACTGCTAAAGATAAAAACCAACAGCCTACAGTTCAGCAGCTTCAGAGGAATACCATGAGGAATAACCAGAGGAACAGACTATCAGGGTGAAGCTCTTTATTCAAGTTATTTGATCTACCTCTCGAGTTTAGTTTTCTTTACAGTGACAACTATTCTAAAAAATTATGAAACTAAAGATTTTCAAGGGCCAAACTTTTTTAGGCGATGTCCATGGATTTGAGACTAACTGAAGATTTTCAGGATATTTATTTAAAACCGATACTGATAAAGGTAAAGCTGAAGCTATGGTTGCACAAATCGCAGCAAAGTAAAAAAAGATTTTTTGGAACACATGGCAGTCTCGAATTTTGGTAATATTGTAATTAGATTTAGGTGTCAGATAAACCCAACTATAATAAAAGCAATACACAAATAACCCGCACTACCAACACCTCTTCCTGCCTATATATAGCCGTCCTGCTCCACCTCTGTTAGTAGGTTATAAATGACCATAATTTTTAAAGGGGTGGACCGGTAAGCCAGCGGAAGGCCTCGGTCAGATGACCAAAAGCTCCAAAGGCGGGTCATCATCTGACTAAGACCCGCGTCAGGAAACATTTGTCCTGTTTCCTGACGAACCTTACCTAACCTAACCTCTGTTAGTGTGACTTTGTCAATGGTCCAAGTCGGACCGAAACGTCGTCGTAAGCTTCTCTCTTATGTGCGGGTTATTTGTGTATCGTTCCAGTCACGGTATTGTGCCTTTTTTTGTTATTTATAATAAAAGCAACTTCGTATAAGAAAAATATGGTAAGATAAGATTTCGTTCGGATTTTTAACCCCGGAGGGTTAGCCACCCAGGATAACCCAAGAAAGTCAGTGCGTCATCGAGGACTAACTTATTTCCATTGGGGTCCTTAATCTTGTCCCCCAGGATGCGACCCACACCAGTCGACTAACACCCAGGTACCTATTTGCTGCTAGGTGAACAGGACAACAGGTGTAAGGAAACGTGTCGAAATGTTTCCACCCGCCGGGAATCGAACCCGGGCCCTCCGTGTGTGAAGCGGGAGTTTTAGCCACCAGGCCACAGGTGGTTTAGGTTTAATAAGTCATATGGCTTTTTTTTTTTTTTTTAACTTATATCTATTAGTACTCTAGAATGGCAATTTTTATTTACATTAAAAAAATTTCACCTACAAAACTCTAGAATTATCCACCTTAAGAGATTAAGTTTAACCCAAGTGGAAGA